TTTCAAGTGATAAACAGTTCAGGGCCAGCTGTGACCGTTTGGTTTTAATTAGAAACTGTCTCTTTAAATTTCGAGGAGATCTGTGCGCATGCATAGTAGAACCCTCTGAGGGTGGGGCTGGGGTGCCCACTGGCTCAGGCATTCCTATAGTCACCAGAATGGAGGTGCGCAGACACAAGGGACCAATGAACAGCTACCAAAAGAAAAGAATGTCCACACCTTTATCTCTGCGGTTCTTCCAGGCGTCTATGGCCGCTCCGATCCTTCCCCTACATGGTCTTACCCAAGATGGCAGCTCCTGGAGCAGCTGAGCGTCCTGGACTAGAAAGCAATAGATTTCTTGCTTCTGCCAAAATTCCCCAGCTCCAAACCTTCCAACCTTCTAAATATTCCTTTATATGTGGTTCAGAGTTCTGGGACCATCCCCTGAGCCTGCTTGTTCAGGTGTTCTGTGTTGTTGCTGGCAGAGCTCTTACTGCACTTCCACCGGATCCGCCATCTTGCATTGATTAGTAGTATAGCTCTGGCTAAAACTTCCAGCACGATATTGAATAGGAGTGGTGATAAAGGACATCCTAGTCTGGTTCCTGTTCACAGGGGGAAGACTTTCAGTTTCTCTCCTTTGAGCGTGATGTAGGCTCTTGGTTTTGTATATACGCTCTTGATTATGTTGAGGAATTTCCCTTCAGTTTTTACTTTGTTGAGTGTTTTTATCAAGAATGGATGTTGGATTTTGTCAAATGCCTTTTCTGCATCAGTCGATATGATAATGTGGTTCTTTTCATTTTTTGCCAGTAGTTTCTCAATTTTATTAATCCTTCTAAAGAACCAGCTTCTTTTCCTGTTTGTTGATGCTTTCTATAGTTTTTTGTTTTCTATCTCGTTTACTTCTGCTCTTATCTTTATTATTTCCTTTCTTTTGGTGACTGTAGGTTCCCTCTGCTGGTCTGCTTCTAATTGTCGAAAATGCTGTGTTAATGTGTTGATTTTGTTTCTTTTTTCTTTTTGGATTTGCGCATTTATCGCAATAAATTGTCCTTTCAGGACTGCGTTCGCTGTGTCCCAAAGATTTTGGTATGTTGTGTTTTCATTCTCATTTGTTTCTAGGTACTTTGTGAATTCACGTTTAATTTCTTCTCTTACCCAGTCGCTTTTCAGCAGGGTGTTGTTCAGTTTCCATGTATATGACTTTGTTGCTTTGGTCTTCTTGTTATGGATTTCTAGTTTTATAGCATTGTGGTCTGAGAAGATGCTCTGTAGAATTTTGATGCTTGTAAATTTATGGAGGCTTGCACTGTGACCTAACACATGGTCAATTCTGGAAAATGTTCCATGCACATTTGAGAAGAATGTGTATTGTGCTGTTGTTGGATTGGATACTCTGTATACATCTATGAGGTCAAGATGGTTGATCATGTTGTTTAGTTCCTCTGTAGCTTTGTCCGGTTTCTTTCTGGTTGTTCTGTCCCTTTTCGAAAGTGCTGTGTTAAAATCTCCCACTATAATTGTAGATTTATCCGTTTCTTTCTTCACTTCCAGTAAGGTCTGCTTCATGTGTCTTGGTGTTCTTTCATTAGGAGCATACATATTTATTATGGTTATGTCGTCTTGCTCAGTTGACCCTTTGATTATGACCCTTCTTTGTCCCTTATGCTGCTTTTTATCTTAAAGTTTACTTTGTCAGAGATTAGTATTGCCACTCCTGCTTGTTTATTGTTGCAGTTAGCTTGGTAAAGTTTTTTCCATCCTTTAACTTTTAGTCTGTTTTTGTCTTTGTGTGTAAGGTGTGTCTCTTGCAGGCAACATATTGATGGGTCTTGTATTCTTATCCATTCTGCCACACTCTGTCTCTTCACTGGTACATTCAATTCATTGACATTAAATGTAATTATCAATAAGTATGAATTCGTTGCTGTCATTATGCTACTTTTTTTGTTGGTGCTGTTCATTCTTTTCTACATTCCTTCTTGTGTTGGGTTTGTGTTTTTTGTGTTACTTTTTGTTGGTTTCTTCTTAATTTCCATGTTCACTTGTTCTGCTTGGGAATTCATTTTTATGGTATGTTGTTAAATATTTAGCTTTCTTTGGGGTTACCTTGTAGTGTACTAACTTTTCTCTGCATTTAAGATACTCCATTGTATCCTGTCATTTACCTGACATCCTCACCACCTGGGTCTCTGTTGCTACGTTTGTCCCTTCTTTGACATTGATATACTTTTGGTCTTCAGTTGATCTCCCAGCTCCTTTGAGATTGTTGTTGTAGTCTTGTTCTGTTCTGAATTCTGCTATCTGCTGTCTGAGTTCCAGGTGGTGTTGCCACACCTGTAAATCTCTGTTTGTTGTCTGTTCTTGTTGGTTTTCAGTCCACAGAACTCCCTTTATGATGTTTTGAAGTGCTGGGTTGGTTTTGATAAAATCTCTCAGATTCTGTTTATCCTGGAATGTTTTGATAGCACCATTGTATTTGATTGATAGTTTTGCTGGATAGACGATTCTTTGTTGATAGTTTTTTCTTACAGGGCTTTATATATGTTTCCCCATTGCCTTCTTGCTTGCCTGGTTTGTTCTGAATAGTCAGAGCTTAATCTAATTTGCTTTCCTTTATAAGTGATATTTCTCTTCTCCCTGGCCACTTTTAGTATTCTTTTCTTGTCTTTGATTTTGGAGACTTTGATTATTATATGTCTTGGAGACTTTCTTTTGCAGTCTATCCTTCCTCGGGTACATTCGGCTTCTTGAATGTTTATCTTCTCATCTTTCAAGATGTTAGGGAAATTTTCTTTCAGAAGCTCTTCAACTATCTCCTTGTGAACTTCTCTGATTCTTTTTGTTCTGGAATGCCAATAATTCTTACATTATTTCTTTTCATGTTATCCAGCATGAATCTTAGACTCTCTCCAGATTGTTTTATCCTTTTAGCTGCTTGCTCTTCTATCTTGGCAGTATTGACAGATTTGTCTTCCAGCTTGCTAGTTCTGGCTTCCATCTCTTCTAATCTGTTCCTTTCCCCTTTCAGTGTATTGTCCATTTCTTATATCTTATTATTGATCATCTGGACATCTTTTTTCAAGATTTTGATTTGTTTCCAATGCTGTGTCAATCTTATTTGATTGTTCCTGTAGTACTTTCCTTATTTCTTCCTTGTTTTCCTCCACCCCTTTTCGGAGTATTTGAATTTGTTTCCATATCATTTTTTTTAATTCCCTCTCAGGCATATCCAGAACTCGCTCTTCCTTCTCTATAAAGCCTTTGTCTATCTCCAGCTCGTTTGCATCAGCTACTCTCTTCTGTTTTTGGACATATTTCAGTAAGGTTTGTTGCCTCTTATTCATCATGATTATTGTTTTTGTTATTATTATTTTGAATATGATCAGGAGATAGGCTTCCCTTATCACCTGTAATGTGTAGCAGGTGTTGTTGGGTCTTGTCTCAGTAGTGGAATATTATGGGGTATGCTTATAGCTTGGCTATATGGCCATGATTGCTGCCTCTTCTTAGGTGATGTAGAGAGGAAAAGCTCCCACCTCCACAAAAGATGTGTGATCAAAAGGACCAAAAGCAGAAGTAATATAAACACATAGACAAAAATCACCACTTTGGAGCAGAAATGAAGCTGTGGCCGACTGTACTGTGCTACCCCGTCGGTGTGTATGCAAGTAGAAGCCTCCAGCAGGGCGTGGGGTTGACCCCTCTCTCAGGCCTCTCCTTCAATTCACTACCATATAAGTGTTCAGGTAGATACTGGAGAGTTAATGTTAGAAAGATCATCCACTATTTTTGTCTCTGAAGGTCAGTTGATTATCTGCCTGTGCTCAGTGCAAATCTTGGGATGGTTGAGTCCTGTTTTGCTGTGGTTTTACAGATTGCTTTGTTTTGATCCAACACACATAGCTCTGGCAGCACAGTGGCTGTGGATTGCAAGAACAATAGCTGGAAATTCCAAGCTGCTACCTGGGAGAAAGGCAAGGTGTCCCGCCCCGGTTCAGATGCACAACCTCAGATTTTGGGCCCATGGGTGACATCATAAGTTGCCGCCAAGCTCCCTCTCTCTGAACCATGGGAAAACTGTCCTGCCTGATGTCCGAACTGTGAAATGAAGTTGGGACAGGGAGAGAGAGAGAGAGGGAGAAATGTGTAGTTTCCCACGGCTCTTTCTCTCTTTTATTTGCTGAAAGCGCTGCTTTCTGAGCTGGGCTGGCTTTAGCCCCACTCTCTAAACTCTGCCGGGACAGGGTAGTCACAGAGGCAGTCCAGTCTCCAGATTCCTAAGTCGCCCATATTTTCCTTAATATCATGATATTTTTCATTTGCAAGTGCAGGAAACTGATGTCCTGGATCTTATGGTACATCCGGAGCTCTGGAGTTGTTCTATGAGCGCTTCTTTTGTGAGATCACCCTCCCTTCTCACCGTAGCCTACCCTACCTGTATTTGGCGGCTGAAGCCCCAACCTGAAGCACCATTAGTTATTCTGAGACAGGGCCATTCTTAGCACTGTTCCATCTCAGAGAAGAGTTGGAAGAGTAGATTGCAATTACTTGTCCCTCACCAAATATTATTTACATGTCTATGGAGTCCTGGTGTGGCATTGTGGATTAATGTGCTGGACTGCAAGGTTGGTTTAAACCACAAGGTGTGCGGTTCAAGCTCCTCAGCCAATCCTTGGGAACCCTATATAGGATTGCTATGGGTCGGAACTGATTCAACGGCACTTAACAACAACAACAACATGAACAAGTATTTTATTTTACAGAATTATATAATGACTCAGAACCCCTTTAGAATTAATCAATGCTTTGTTTTCTATTAAAAATATGTAGTTATCTTTGGTCTATTCCAAACTCACTTGCATTTTTTTCCTACAGTGTCTTGGTACAAAGTTTATGAATATCAATGAAGGTTCTGCAGCAGGATTTCTGAATGTTAGAGAAATAGTTATCTAGCATATGGGAACATTCCTTAATATTTTTAACAGAAACATTATTTTATTTTATTATTTTAGAATCAACTGGGGGTATACTTGAAGTTCTAAATCAAGTAGATTCAGGAGGAGTTTCAGCAAATTATACCAGTCATGCAGCATCACCAGCCACATCAGGATTTGTAAGTAGGAAAGAACAACATTGTATTTTGTTTTCTTTGGAGACTGTTTTTTTTTTTTTTTTTTTTTTTAAAACATTGCAGTCATTCTTTTTCAGTCTCTAATAATTGATGGAAAGCAGTAGCAGAGATCATTTAAAACAGAATTTATTCAGAAATTGTTTATGATTGACTTCAGAACAACTCACTTTGATTCTGACAATACATGGAAGCCATGGTTAAAATTGTGAAATGCTGAGAAGCGTTTTGGGATCACTTCTACAGCTATCCAGATCACTTTATTTGTCTTTACAATTTTACCCTCTTTCTCATTTCTTTCTGAACTGTATGTACCAAGCTTTTCTTACCCCTAATGGATGGACTGCCTTGAAAGGAAAGCAAGAAAATTAGTTAGGAGACCAGCTAATTGCCTTGCTTTCCTATCAAGGCAGTCCATCCATTAGGGCTAAGAAAAGTCGAGTTTCCCAGACCTATCCTAGTAATGTAGGAGAATGGACAGTAACCCACTCAGCTTCTTCTCATGGCTTTCCTAGATGATTGGGAACATTATTGATAATCCTACTTTATTCGCTATTTTTCTAACATTTTAGAAAAAGATAGTTCTTTTAGTGCCTCTCCTGAGTCATTTCTTTTAAAGAAAAGCACTGATAATATTTGGTATTCTTTGAACATTTTAACATGGCTGCAAGTAAAAGTCTCCCATTATGTTAATAATTCTAATAGAATTGTGGTTGTAGCTCATGTGAAGTTAGCTGATTTTCATCTTCTAGACTTTTTCTTTTTTTTCAATTGTAGGGAATAAATAAATAATTTGTCACATTAGATTCGGGTGTTTTGTGACCTAAGGTATGCATTTTGTTGTGTGTGCTATTGAGTTGATTCTGACTCATAGCAACCCAATAGGATAGAGTAGAAATGTCTCACAGGATTTTCTAGATTATAATCTTTACAGAGTCTTGGTATGGTGCTGTGGGCTAATGCGCTGGACTGCAAAGTTGGTTTGAACTGCAGGGTTGGTGATTCAGGCTCACCAGCTGCTCCACAGAAACCCTATACAGGGTTGCTATGGATCGAAACTGACTCAACGGCACTGAACAATAAATAATCTTTACAGGAGTAGATCTCCAGGGCTTTCTTGTGTGGTGCCACTAATGGGTTCAAAGCAACAACTTCCTGTTAACAGCAGAGCACTTAATAATTGTTCTACCTGTGCTCTTTGGTAAAGGACTAGATAGTAAACATGTTAGACTTATAAGTCACATACTATTTCTGTCTGCTTGTTCTTCTTTTTCTTTTAAACTATCCTTTGAAAATATAAAAGCTGTTCTTAGCCTGTAGCTGTAGTTTGTCAACACTGGTTGAATGGATATCATTGTTTTATAATCTAATGTGGGTTCACACATTAGCTAGAAATATCACCAAATAGAAAAATTCAACATCCAATTAGATGAACAACATTCCTGGGAAGGAACTTCAAGTAAAATTTCATTTTAGTTAGAGTTATGATGAGGCAATCTAGTTTACAGGCATTAAGCATTGTTTTGCTCATCAATTTGTGATGAATTTTATATAATTGATCTTACAGAGCAATTTACTATCTATAACAGATTCATTATTCTTTGGATTTTTGGATAGCTAATAATTACTGAACTAGTAAGCTTTTCACACTCAGGCAAGAAAGTTGAAAATGAGATATACTATTAGAAAGAAGCAAACAATAAAAAAAATACTTATCTGTAAATGGAGTCCTTTTCTACACATTATCTAATTGACTTCTATTTTTAAAACTTCAAATATAATGAAGCAATTATGATGCTCCATCAAATGCACTAAAATGGCATTCTATTAACATCTTTTCAAAAGCAAAACTAAATATATAAGCAGTTATTTTGAATTTCAAAGATTTGATAAAAATTGTATTCATGAATATAATCATTTTCTTATAACTTTTCCATAGGCTGGAGCTATTGGTCATCAACTTCGTCCATTTTCTTCTGCTTATACTGAACTGGAAGCTATTATGTATGCCCTTGGAGTGGGTGCATCAGCCAAGGAACCAAAAGATATGAGATTTATTTATGAAGGAAGCTCTGATTTCACCTGCTTGCCTACCTTTGCAGTTATCATAGCTCAAAAATCTGTAATGGGTGGAGAATTAGCAGAGATCCCTGGACTTCCAATCAACTTGGCAAAAGTATGCTATTCTTTGTTTTTAAATATGATTGATAATGTTTACTTCATATGTATATATATAAATGTTTTGTGAATTATGTGATAGTTTACATGGGAGAACATTAGCTTTACATTCATCCTATTGTATATTGTTTCATTGCCATGGTTACAATCCCCTCCATCAATCAGCTAAAGTGTATACCCTGCAAGCCTGTCCCCCAGTTGTCAGCACACAGCCCCTTACCCTCTCTGGGTCTAAAGTCCCCACCTGCTCCATCTCTCCACGTCATCGTCTCTGCCTCCATCTCTGGCATCACTTCTTCTCTGGGTAGGGTCCTGCACATCATATATTGTTAAGTGCCATCGAATCGGTTCTGACCTCAATAGCTACTCTGTCTAGGGTTTCCAAGGAGTGGCTGGTGAGTTTGAATCACCAACCTTGTGGTTAGCAGTCTGGTGCTTATCCTAGAGAGCCAAAGCAGGACTCCATTTTTATATACAAACACACACATTTATATAAACACACACACATATGTATCTACATAAGTATATATAGAATTATAAAAGTTTATAGTGGTTCAGGAACAAAATTTTGACATGTGTTTTTAATTTATTTAAGAATAAAGAAGATGAGAGTTACTTTAAAGGAAAATAAAAAGAGGAAAATATTTAGTACAGTTCCACAAACTCTGACATACTGTACTTAATTGTCTATTTGCCATTTACTTCATTATTTGACTTAGGGTAAATAATTTTTCTAAGCTTCAATTTCCTTACCTATAAAATGGACATGATAGTTCTTATATCATGATATTGGTGAGGGCACAGGTCAGGTATTTGAGATAGAGTTAACAAGTATAAAAGAACCTGAGGTAGGTACATATTTGACTTGTTTTGGGATCGAGGGGTCAATATAGCTGTAGAGTAAGAGGGTAATATTAGGAAAAGGCCTGTAGTTCATTGTAAGCTTTTTCTTTGATTAATGTTGGATGTCAGTGTAACTCTTTGAGCTAAGGAGTGACATAATCTTAACTGTTCACTCATAAGCTAACTCTTGTTATTTCATCGCGAGTACATTGTAAACATGGAAACTGGAAACCAGCTAAGTGTCTATTAACAGTAATCTAAACTGTGGGTTAATATGCTGGACTGCAAGGTCAGTTTGAACTGCAAGGTCGGTGGTTCAAGTTCACCAGCCACTCCTCAGAAACTCTATACAGGGTCAGTATGGGTCAGCACTTAACAACAACAACAAAGCTAAAAGACTGGTTGTGAGGGTGACGGAAAGAGGGATCAAGGATGACCAAGGATAAAGATTTTTGGTCTGGACAACTAAAATTATTCATATGTATATATACTCATATAATTAACTATTTGTTGTGTTATTAAGTGCCATCGAGTCGATTCCAACGCATCGCGACCCTGTGTAGGGTTTCCGAGGAGCAGTCTGGTGAATTAACCCAAAGCGCCACACCAGGACTCCATAATTAACTATGTATAGCATATATTTAGTTTGTGTAACAGTTACATGGAGTCAGTACTTGTGTGGCACTGTAGGATAAGCACTGGATTTCTAATGGAAAGGTTGGCAGTTTAAACCCACTAGGTGCTCCTTAGAAACTTATACAGCAGGGGTGGGGAACCATTTTTCTGCCAAAATGTATAGCCATACAAAATTATCAACTTAAAAATTAGCCTGCTATATTTGGTCAAACAGACTCCCGGTGTAATGCTGTAGGATCAGCAGTGGATTTCAAACCACAAGATTGGCCATTCAAACCTGCTGCTCCTCGGAAACCCTGCACAGGGTCACTATGAGTCAGAACCAACTTGACGGCACTTAACAACAACAACAACAACAACAACATATGACTGTAGGCCCTGACATTCCCTACACCTGCTATATACGGTTTCTCCGAGTCAGAACCAACTTGACTGCATTAACAGCAACAACATTACATATTCAAATGGAGAGTCTGGATTTTGGGGGTAATTTCTATTTGGGGCCTTTAGAATTTATATGATATTTAAAGCCACCGAACTGGATGAAATCACCTAATGTATGAGTTTAAGTAGAGATGAAGTTTTTGTTTAGGGACTTTGCAATGTTAGTGCTTGAAGAGATGAGGAACTTGCAAAAGAGATTGAGAAGGAATGGCCATGCAGGTAGGAGGAACACTAGCAGGATGTGAAACTTGAGGTAGAGTATATTTTACTTCTTGGAGTTTGGTTTAGTTTATCAGCCTGATGATAATTGTAATCATGTTGCTGTTGTTGTGTGCCGTGGAGTTGGTTCCGACCCATAGCGACCCTATACAGGGTTTTCGAGGCTGTAAATCTTTATGGGAGCAGAAAGCTTCATCTTTCTCCCGCGGAACAGCTGGTAGTTTCGAACTGCTGACCTTGCAGTTTGCAGCCCAATTCGTAACCACTACGCTACCAGAGGTCCTTAATTGTAATCATAGAGAGACATAAAATAATTGATTTCTGTTACTTTGATTGGATAATCCTTTGCTGGAAGATTGATTAGTTCACTCTTACTCTGAATCCATGGGAACATATTTTATTAATGTATTTGATGAAGTTGACGGTAAAGTTAGTATGTGCTGGAAAGTTTGATGTAATTATCCCATGGTACTTATTATGTACTGTTCTTCTGTTTTAATGATGTAAGTACAAAAATTAAATGTTCAGAATTTCCCCTTGGGATTAGCAGACATTGGAAATGATAAGTGGTGTTTAAATTATGTGACTGGGAATGATAGCCATCTTGGAATTTGAATCCCAGTCTTCCGAACTTTGAGTTTCCAGACAGTATGACTCAGTGAGGGAGACCTTCATTTGTCTTCCCATCACCATGCTTTTTTTCTGGATTCTGAGGAAGATCAGATTAAACTGTCCCACTGCAGTGGTCATTTAGATATATTGTTCAAGTCTTGGGTTTCCTTTCCTGTTGTTTTCTATAAATACTTGTTTATTCTTGCTTTGACAAATTGAGTTTAAGAGGCTGTGAAGTTATATAGTATCCTTAGGTTAGTCTTTGTAGATAATTTACAAGATATATATGATAATGCTTGACTCTGAGCATGTTTGCAAGGTTTCTCTATCTTGGTGTTTTAATTGAGTCATTTGCATTTGGTTCATGTTTTCCCAGTTTAAATTACTTTACCAGCACTGGCCCCATTTGTTCATTTTTCTTCTATATGTTTACTGAATGCCTAGTATGATTCAGGCATTGTAACACGAACTGAAAATATAGCCTAGGTTAGGGTCTCCATTGGCAAACACGCCCACTCTTCAATTACTGACATGGTTAGGTTCCAAATATGTGAAATTGGTGTTATGTGAGAGTCGGATGGCGACGTCCATCTCTCCTCTATTATTCATCATCCATCAGGTGCCCCCTATATATGAGTGGTGAGGTTGACCCCTTTTCCTCACCCATGTGGAGCCTGCAGGGATTGAGGTTGGTGGTATGGTGGTTATTCGTGATTCCCTGCTGCCTACCACCTTCTACTGCTTGCCACCTCCTGGCTGCCCACCCTGCTGCTCATTTGCTCCAGCCCTGTAACACCATTCATCCCCCGTCCCACCCACTTCTCACCTGCACGTTTGGACTCTTGCACAGCCTCTGCCTGCCTGCCTGTGACCTGACATCCTGCTGTCAGCCTGGGCCCTTTGTAGCCAGACTGAGACACTGAAGATAACTGGGAGAAGGTGTCCCACAGCAGGTTGGTCATAGGCCCTTGTTTGGGCTGGTCATCACTGGAGCCTCCAGTATATTTTTCAGAGTTGCCTATGGAGGACACCCTGGGCCCAGGCACAGCTCTGAGTGGGGCTCAGACCACTGAAGGTGCCACCTGAGAACTTTTTCAAAGTTGGAAATGCGAAATGCTGGCCAAGAAGATAGTTGGTGAAGAGTAGGTGTAATCTGTAATTACCACTCCATGTTGTTGTTGTTAAGTGTTGTCGAGTCTGTTTTGATTCATAGCGACCCTGTATAGGGTTTCCTAGGAGAGATTGGTGAGCTTGAACTGCCAACTTTGTGGTTGAAATCGACTGTGCAGTCCAGTGCCATAATCCACAGTGTGACACCTGGACTCTTACCACTCTATAAGAACTTATAAGTGGCAAAAAAGAACACAAATTATCTTTTATGTTCCAATAGTCTTCAAATTGGGAGACTGGTGCTTTTTGAGTCACATAATTAAGAAGCAGCTAAATTGAGACTTAATTTGGGGAAAATAGTGATGTGAATATGTGAACAATGCATTGTTGTCACTTGTGATTAATAATATCCACAAATAGACTGTAGAAAAAAAATCAGCTAATAAAAATTTTGCTTAATCCTTCTTAGCTTCTTCATGGGGAGCAGTACTTGGAGTTATATAAGCCACTTCCTAGATCAGGTGAGTTTTTATACACTTATTCCATAATTTTATTTTCTGATTAATCTACTAAACTGCATCAATATGCTAAACTGGCATGATGTTGTTAAGTTCCAACCCATAGCAATCCTGTATAGCGTTTCTGAGTAGTGGCTGGGGAGTTTGAACCGCCGACATTGCAGTTCAAACTGATCTTGTGGTCAAGTGCTTATCCTGCAGAGCCACATACTGGCAAAAAGTGACATAATAAAACATATCACAAGGTATTTATGTACACATCAGCCATTAGAGTTGTTGTTATTAGGTGCCAACAAGTTGTTACCAACTCATAGTGATCCTATGCAAAATAGACTTTGTGGTTCAAACCAACTTTGCAGTCCAGTGCATTGACCCACAGTGCTACACCAGGACTCTATAACCAATGCCTACATAGCCAGTGATTTTTCTCCAAGCCCAAATCTCACACTGTAACAAAATGCTCATCCCGATACCACCACTGTACTCACCAACACACATACTCTCAAGGGTTGGGGTCCAACATCCAAATTTTATTTAAAATAAAGAGTAATATAATAACTCAAGAAATTTTGATATGCAGCAAGATAATTAAATAATCTAATGCCTAGTAATTTATATAGAACCTATCCATCATAGTTGGAGCTCTGGTATGTCACTGTGGATTAATGCACTGGCTTCAGGGTCAGTTTGAACTGCACTTAGCAACAAACAACAACAACATACAGGTCAGCTAGTAGATAGAAACAAATTAATAGTCTTTAAGGTGGGGCCAGTGGCTCACAACCACGCATATTTGTCCTTTAGGAGTGGTATCCTTTAGTATCAATTCATGAGGGTCAACTGAGCCTGCTTTTAGGGGCAATTCTGATTCTGAGCAGGCTAAGGGGGAGTACCTGGTCCCAATTTAGATTATTCTCTTGGTGAGATTTTTCCAGGGTTTTCTTTAGGGTGTGGTTCTTCTTCTTGATTTTTTTTTTTTTTTTTCAGTTGACTGGAATATCCAGGAGGTGTGTAGCTGTCATTTTACTTGGCAGATTTTTTAATTTCCTGACAACTGCTCTCTTGAAATTTTAAGAGTAGTAGTTGGATATGAACATTTTCAACCCAAGGTTTTGGTTTTAGGGCCAGAGTCTGCAAGGATGAACTCTAGACTGCCACTTTCGTGGTTTTGTTGGTATGATGATTTCCTTCTTTTTCTGTGGCGGTGGTCTTTTTGGTGACCAAAGTAATATGTGTTAGTTACTGTAGCCAGTTTTTGGACAGCCTCCATTTGATATAAAATTTATGAGACACGTCCTATCTTGTCCAACTCTATTTTGAGGAGACAGTTTTTTCCACAGTTATATTCTGAGTGCCTTCCAACCTGAGGGGAATCATCTTCCGGCACTAAATCTGACAGTATTCTGGTGGTTTTCATATTCTGGCATTATACCTGACAGTGCTTTGCTGTAATTCATAAGATTTTCGGTGGCTAAACTTTCAGAAGTAGTCCTCCTCTCCTTGCTTATGTGTTTTAGTCTGGAACTCCGCTGACACCTGGCCACCATAGGTGACCCTCCTTGTATTTAAAGTACTGGTGGCATAGCTTCTAGCATCACACCACGTGAGCCACCACAATATAATAGACTGACAGACCAGTGAGATAGAAAGGATAAAATTCAAGGGTAGGTGAATAAGAGAAAGAAAAAAATTAACAAAAACAAAGAAAAGGAAAACACCAGGGCAGGTGCCAGACACAGAGAGGAAAAAATTCTGGGATCTCCCATCAGCCAGGTGCATCACGTGGTATGTGGGCATAATGGCATTTCTGCCCAACATGAAGTTCCTGTAGGATTAGGTCCTGTCTTTTCTGGGTATCTAATCTGGAGTTCTTTGTGGCGCTGTGGGTTAATGCTCCAGACTGCAAAGCCGTTTGAACTGCAAGTTTAGTGGTTCAAGATCACCAGCTGTTCCTCAGAAACGCTATACAGAGTCGCTATGGGTTGGAACCAACTTGACTACACTTAATAACAAAGATCTGGAGTTCTGGAGTCCTGGTGTGGCGGTTCAGGCTTGCCAGCTGCTCCTCGGAAACCCTATACAGGGTTGCTATGGGTTGGAACCTATTTAAAACATTTAAAAACAACAACAATCTGGAGTCCTGGTGTGGTGTTGTGGGTTAATGCACTGTGTACTGCAAAGTTGGTTTGAACAGCAAGGTGCAAACCCTACACAGGGTCATTATGTGTTGGAACTGACTCGACAGCACTTAACAACAACAGTAACAAATCTGGAAGTAGTTCATGCAGACCCCAAACTACTGGAGGATCAGGGTATTTCTGTCCCAGAGAGTAGCCGAGTGTGAGTTGTCCTGCTAGTTGTAGACTGGCTGGAACCAGCTTTGCAGGTCTGGGGCAGGTCACACATGATCCAGTACTGGGGTGGTTTTGCCAGATCCCCACTCACTTTGATGTAGCTCTGCTTGCCTGGAGAGCAGGAGCTTTGATGGGAGTGTATTGGATGGGGGCTGGCCATTCCTCTGGTCACCAGGGTAACGTGACGTACAAGAAAAGTTTTGTACCTTTCCTGTCTGCCAATAAGTGGTATGCTCTGTGCCACCAATTACCCTCATGCCGTCACAGCCTCCTGCAGAAGTTCAAGATGGCAAGTCACACCTGACCAGCCAGCACTGATTACCTGTCTCCTTTTAAATCCCTACCATGTGTGTCTGTTCAGCTGCTTTTCCTGGTTAGGGCTAGTCCAGGGCCTGTCAGGGTCAGCTCTGCAAATTTGGAGCAGTGTTCACTTGGATCCAGATGCCATGGTTGATGTTGCTTAGCTTCCCACTCATTTTGATGAGACTCACAACTGTGTTGCTCACTTCTGTGCAGTTCTGACAGCCAGGATAGTGGGAGCTTCGTTGGGGATGTATATGGGTCACCTCTGGTCACCAGGGAGGTGTGGGGAGTAAACAAAAAAATTCACCTTTATCTCTGTGAGTCACTGGTATGTTTCTGTAGTGCCAGTATGCTGTCTTGTCTCTGAAGCAGTTCACATAAGTTTAAGGTAGTTGTACCATGTCTTGTTGACTGGCACAGGTCATTAGTCTGTCTCCCACGCCTGCCCCCCATGTGTTCTCTTGCTCTCTTATTAAGCATTCAGTCTACTTCTGATCCCCTGGAGCTCAGGGCTCCAGGACTATAGTCTGTATTTATTTCATTTGGTTTTCCATATCTTTGTTGTAGAGGGTTTGTATAGCCTTACTACTGGTCCACCATTTTACCGTCTTCTTCCATCCTTGCTTCTAATGAATGTGACTGTACTTCTTCCTGGTAGATTTGTTTGTTCTTCCGGCAATCCATGGAAGTTAGTATTCCTCACCAGTACCATAATTGAAATACTTAATTTCTTCCTTGATCTCTCTTATTAATTGTCCAGCTTTCCTATGCATATGAAACAGTTGAAAATGCCATCACTTGGTCAGGCACACACACACAAAGGTGACATCTTTGTTTTAAAAACTTTTAAGAGGTCTTTTGTAAAAGTTTTGCCCCATTCAATACATTGTTTGATTTCTTTTTTTATTTTTATATTAATTTGTGGAGTCCTAGTGGGGTACTGTAGGATAAGCAGTAGACCACAAGGTCAGTTTGAACTGCAAGGTTGGCTGTTCAAACTCACCAGTCGCTCCATGGAAACCCTATACAAGGTCTCTATGAGTTGAAACTGATTTGATGGAACTTAACAACAACAACAGGACTAATGAGGGAATACTGGTGGCACTGTAGGACAAGCCGTGGATTGCTAGCCACTAGGTCAGCAGTTCAAACCCTGCAGCCACTTCAGGCAGAAAGATGAGTATTTCTGCTCCAGTACACATTTACAGCCTCAGAAACCCTACATAGGGCTCTATGAGTTGGAACTGACTTGATGGAACTAACAACAGTGTCTAATGATCACGATCATTTATCCATGTTTGTTGAATGTCTTCTTCGTGAAATGTCTTTTCATGTTCTCTGCCATTTTTAAATTGGATTGTCTTTTTTTTTTTTTTTTATGGAGAGGTTCAAGTTTTCTATAAATTATAGAGATTGTCCCATAACTGATAGGTCATTGCCAGATTTTAACCCCCAGTCCGTAGGCTCTCTTTTGGTGAAGTTTTTTGATGTACATACGTGTCTAATTTTTAGGAGGTCCCAGTCATCTAATTTGTCTTCTGCTGTTTGTATGTTTTCATTTATATATTTATGCCATGTATCAGGGCCCCTAAGTTTCTCCTTATGTGTTTATTGATGAGCTTTGTAGTTCTAAGTTTACATTTAGGTCTTTTTCCCATCTTGAATTCCTTTTTGTATATGGTGTAAAATATGAGTCCTGTATCATTTTTCCTTAGTGTTCAGGAAACCCACCTATTCAGTTTTGCCAGCACCATCTATTAAAGAGACAGTGTCTTCCCCATTTAATATATTTTGGTCCTTTGTTAAAGATCGTGTTTTTGTAGGCACATGGATTTACTTCTGGGTTTTCAATTTTGTTCCATTGGTCTCTGTGTTTGTTGTTGTATCAGCACTAGGCGGTTTTGACTACTTTGGCTGTGTAGTTGATTTTGAGATTGATACGGAAAAGAACTCTTACTTTGCTTTTATTTTCTAGTAATGCTTTGCTTGTCCATGGTTTTTTTCTTTTCCATAAAAAAGTTGGTGATAAATTTTTCCATCTCTTTAAAGACTATATGCCTAGTCCTGTTATTTGATTTTTGATTGCTGCTTCCATGAGCATTGATTTTGGATATATGTAAAATGAAATTCTTGACAATTTGATTATTTCTTTCTTTTTTAATGTTTTATTGTGAATCATGTGATAGTTTACATGGGAGAACATAAGTTTTACATTCATTCTATCGTATATCGTCTCATTGCCATGGTTACAATCCCCTCCATGCATCATCATTATTTCTTATTTTCTCCATTTATTATGATGTTGTTTATTTTTCCAGTTGTGAGGATTATTGTTTTCTTCAGATTGAAGTATGATTCATACTGAAGGCTGTAGATTTGATCTTCATCAGTAAATGCCTCAAGTCCTCTTCACTTTTAGCAAGCACAAGGTTATGTAATTTGTGTATCATAGTTTGTTAAGAAGTCTTCCTTCAACCTCTGCGCTGAGTTGTTCATTATCCACTAAGACACACCTGTTCATAAAAGAATCGTGATTAAAAAGAAGCACTCTCAATTGGAATTAGGAAAGTAGAGAATTGTGTGCACAATAAGTGCTTGTTGAATGATAAGAGTTAAAAAGTGAACTTGAAGAGCTCACTGACATTGTTACTTTGATCACTGAAAAATGTTACTTTGAAAATCTCATCAGAAATATTCTTCAGATTTCGTGCTGCAGGTATTCTGATTGCTTTTAATGTTGAAAATCTTTTAGTTCAGGAAAATTATTTCAAACTTATTAACATTTTAGTTTTGCTGAATTTACAGTGGAAATTATTAGAAATTATCTTAAGTCTTAATAATTTATGGTATTTAAACGTTTGTTATGTTTTCTTTTTTATAGGAACTTTCAGATGTGAAGCAAGAGTTGCTGACGTCCTAGATAAAGGATCCGGCTTAGTAATTCTTTTGGATGGTAACTCATTTACAGTTCTTATAGAAACACTGTTAGGTTAATAAACTTTGTATGCAACATAATACTTTACCATTGAAATTGGTTATTAAGTTTGTGTTTATTTACTGGTTTATGTGAAAGCATTGTAAGTGTTATAAAAATTTAGAAAAATAAGGGAGAAATCAGCTATATAAAGGATTTTGAAACAATATAACCAAAGCACAGAGATGAGATATTTGGTTTGTATACAGAATATAAGGAGCCCTGGTGATGCAGTGGTTAAATCTCCTTACTGCCAATCAGAATGTTGGCACTTGAAACTCACCAGCTGTTCCACGTGATAAAGATGTGGGCAGCCTACTTCTATAAATATTTATAGTCTTAGAAACCCTATGGGTCAGTTCTACTCTGTTCTGTAAGGTTGCTAAGAGTCCTAATTGATTCAGGGGCAGTGACTTTTTTCATTTTTGTAGAGAATACAGGAGAATTCTGCTGTTGGAGTATGTTTTTAGCAAGAAAAAATATATAGACAGGCTTTAATTGGCTTTATAGGTAAAAAGCTTGTATTGTCAGTATATAGTCATTAGTGGCTCAGTGGTTAAAGTGTTTGATTGCTAACAAAAAGGTTGGCAGTTCAAACCCACCAGACACTCTGAGGGAGAAAGATGTGCCATTCTGCTTTGATAAAGTCTGAAAATCCTATGTGAGGTCTCATAGCATAGTGGATTACAAGTTCAACTGCTAACTCCAAGGTCAGCAGTTTGAATCTACCAGATGCTCTGCAGGAGACAGATGAGGCTTTCTGCTCCTTTACAACCTTGGAAGTCCTGTATAGGATCATTATGAGTGGAAACTGACTCCATGGCACATAGTCACCACCACCACCATCATACAGGAAGAACGTAAATGGTCATGAAGAAGATAAGAAAGAAGAAAAAGGCCAAAGTGGAGGACTTTGAAACTTGCTCTCCACTTAGAGATATTAAAGCAAATGGAAGAAATGAAGAGGTAAAAGATCTGAACCAAGAATTTCTAAGAGCAGCTTGAGAAGACAAAGTCAAATATTATAATGAAATGTGTAAAGAGCTAGAGTTAGAAAAATAAAAGGGAAGAACATGCTCAGAATTTCTCAAGCTGTGGGAACTGAATAAAAAATTGAAGCATCTACTTGTAATATTGAAGGATTTCATGGGCAAAATATTGAATGATGCAGAAAGCATCAGAAAAAGATGGAAGGAGTACTCAAAGTCATTGTACCAAAAAGAAATGATCGCTATTCAGCCATTTCAAGAGGTAGCATATGAACAAGAGCCGATGATACTGAAGAAAGAAGCCCAAGGTGAAGTGACGGCATTGTCAAAGAAGAGGTTCTAGGAATGGATGGAATACAAATTGAAATCTTTTAATAAAGCAAGGCTGCACTGGAGGTACTCACTGATCTATGCTAAGAAATTTAGGAGACAACTGCTTGTCCAGCTAATTGGAAGAGATCCATATTTGTTCCCATTCCAAAGAGAGGTGACCCAATGAAATGTGAAAATCATCAGACAGTATCATTAATACTGTATGCAAGCAAAATTTTGCTAAAGATAATTAAAAAACAGTTGCAACCGTGTGTTGGTAGAGAACTTCCAGAAGTTTAAAGTGGATTCAGAAGAGGGCGTGGAATGAGGGATATCATTGCTGATGTCACAAGGATCTTGGCTAAAAGCAGAGAATACCAGAAAGATGTTTATCTGTGCTTCACTGACTACTCAAAGACTTTTGATTGTGTGGATCATGACAAGCTATGGACAGCATTGCAAAAAATAAGTATTCTAGAACACTTAAATGTGGTCATAAGGAACCTGTATATAGACTAAGAAGCAGTTGTTTGACCAGGACAAAGGAACATTTAATGGTTTAAAATTAGGAAAAATGTGCACCAGGGTTGTATTGTTTCACCATACTTATTCAATCTGTATACTGAGCAAATCATTTGAGAAGCTGGGTTATGTGAAGAAGAACTTGGCATCAGGATTTGGAGGAAGATTCATTAACAACTTGTGATATGCAGATGATACAACCTTACTTAATAAAAGCGAAGAGGACTTAAATACTTGCTGATGAAGTTGAAAGACCACAGCCTTTGGTATAGGTTGCATCTCAATGTAAAGATAAAATTACTCACCACTGAACCAGTACATAACATCCATATAAATGGGAGAAAAGATTAAAGTGGTCAAAGACTTCATTTTTCTCAGATCAACCGTGAACACTCATAGAAACAGTAGTCAAGAAATCAAATGACATATTTCATTAGGCAAATCTGCTGCACAAAACCTCTTTAAAGAGTGGAAGA